GTTAAAACCAAAATAAAGTTAAAATAAAACAGAGTATTCCATAGAGACTTCAAATAAAGTTTAAAACTGAAAGTTTAAAACAAAGTTAGGGTTATAATGAAAGTAAAATAACCAAAGCCTACAATTGAAAAAATCATGTGAAAAAAATCTTATTGGTATCTCAGTTCAGTTATGTTATATATAAAATCTCAAAAGTAAAGTTAAATTTATACTAAAAGTCTAAATTTAAAGGTTCAGCAAAATCTCTGAAACTTTGTTGAACAAAGGAGAACCCTGGTTTTAATAAAAAAAATACAATAACAACTTAAGCCTTGTTTATACCTGAAACATTACCCTTCACATGACTTCCATCCACTTGTGCTCAAATGAGTAAAATCCAAGGCCATTACCTGATTTTTTGACAGCTCTATATTCCCAGATGTGGAGTTGTTATCTTCCCTACAAGAAACTTGATTAGTTGCCAATTAGTGAAGAGGACCTATCTAGTAAGAAGCAAAGCCGAGATATGTTTACTTTAACGACTTTTCACGTCGAAACCGAACTGGATGAAAATACAGAAATTTCGAAAAAAAAATACATATTAATTAAAGGAATAGAAAACACATTATATAATCTTGTTCCACATTTCTGTACTACCTTTGCATCATAGTTTGTTAGTTTCTTGATTGTTCTGTTATAAAACCAGCATACTAAATTCCGTAACTTGATGAGGTAACAATATAGGTGGAGTAGTATGGCACTAATGGTAGGGGAAGGTTGGGGTTCCTGGGAATGAAGCTACCTCAAAATGTGCATCAACCTTCCTGTAAACCCCAGACCCAATGAACAATACTTATTGATAAAGCTGATTCACTTCCTTAATACTACAATATATGTGACGACAGGATGTAAAGTGTAGCTCTTTTATTTATTTTATTTTATTTTTTGCTTTGTTTTGTTTAGCCCACCTCAGTCCTCTCATCAGAAAGAGATTGGCGTCACTTCTGAACATGGGCAAATATTGTTAAATGTGTTTGAGAATGAACTTTTCGGCAAATGCAGAGAGGAGTATGACTAATTTGATTCTTGCTTTTTCCCAATTCATTTTCCAGATGTTTTCTTCTGTCACTGATGTTATCCCATTGATTTTTATATTATAATCTTTCTGCACTTTGTTGTTGTCTTTTCATACTTATTCAATTTTGTTATCAGTCTTTTTGCATTTCACTGATGCCTTTTTTGTACTTCACGGAAGTTCTTTTTTCACTTCCTTGAATTTTGTCATTATAATCTCTCTGCACGTCATAGATGTATTTGTTACTATTTGAAATTTGCTGTTATCATCCTTCTGTACATCTCCAATAGCTTCTTCGATCTTGTCTTCAATCAAATTTATTTGTTTTCAAATCTTCTTTCAGGCTTACATTTATTTCATTTAACCCCTCTATTAAACCCCCCTCTGTTCCTTTTATTCTTCTTTTTAACTTCCTGTAAATTTCTTTCTGATATCATTTTAATTTCCTGTCTCGTTATTCTAATTTTCTGTCTCTTTTTTCATAGACTTCTATTAATTCTTCTTTCCACTGTTTCATACTTTCCAGCAAATTTTCAATTTAACGAAAAGTAGAGCATTTTATATCTTCTGCAACAAGTTCTATAAGCTCACTTGTTAAATTTCTTCTTGTATCTATGCCACAAACTCAAAAATGTACAGTACAGAAATGACTTACTAACTAATTGACTAATCAACTCACTGATTAACTAACTCACATTAACTCATAATCAAAAACAATTCTCCGATATTTCATATAATATTTTTTCCGTAAGTTTAGAAATTTCGAGATATTACACCAGATCTACAAACACGGGGATTTTTTAGGTGTCATCAATAAGTCATGCCAGTACTCCCTTTAGCAAACAGTAAAAGATATCCGAATTAAAATAATGAACAGATAGCCTACAACAATCTTAAAAACGTTTTCGCCTAAAGAATCTGAAGCATAAACCTGGTAATATTTAAAAATAATGTAAAGATCAAAACCTATATTAAAGACAATAATATTACAGTTTAAACGTTGACACCTGGAATAACTTTGGAAGGTATCATGCCTAACATTTGCGATTTTTCCTCATATTTTCCTATTCATTCACATTCGTTCGTTTTAGATTTCAAACGAGTGGTACATAGAAATAGCATTTCAGTCTTTGAGTTGGACAAAAGATTGGTCTAAAGACTAGTTTCCAAACCTCTGATTTGAAATTCGAAATAGTCAAATTAAGAAGAATGTGAAAAGAAGAATCAGTAGCTTATCCATAATTTCTTATCACAGATGTCAGCCTTATTTCTCATTTAACGATAAGGTCATAACGTTGAAACCGTGTTTGTATAATCAGTTAATGAAATAACTTTGTTGTTTTTGTAAAATTTAGAGTATAGTTTGGTTTGTCACGAATCTCGCGCACAGCTACACGAAGGCTATCTGCGCTAGCCGTCTCTAATTTACCAGTGAAAGACTAGGGGAAGGCAGCTAGTCATCACCACCCATCGCCAACTCTTGGGCTACTCTTTTACCAACGAATAGTGGGATTGACCGTCACATTATAACGCACCCACGACTGGCAGGGCGAGCATGTTTGGTGGGACGGGGATTCAAGATCCCTAATCACCTGGCCATGCCAGGCCAAGAATATAGTTGAGAATACACTTAAAAAATTAAATTTGATACATTTAACTGTCAATCGTTGCGTTTAGCTTATGATTCAACAGATGCCGCCACGAGCAATGAGATTACACTTGGTTGAAGATGCCTTTCATTTCACCATTCTTGAAAGACGTGCAGATAGATTATACCTACAGTAAGAATTTAGTCAAGCTGAAAATAGTAATAATTATTTTTGTTGCACACAAAGGATTTTTTTTTATTCTGGAAATTAACGAAAAGATGCAAATGTGAAATTTTTCATTGTCACTAGTAGTTTAGTAATAACTGGTAAATTAATGGTAATTGTGTTTTTCAATAGTCAATAAATTCTAGTTTCATCCCTTGTAATTTCTACGGTGTTTTGAATGATATAATTTATGGCATTTAAAAGGATAATAACTTGCGCAGCAGCTTTGTGAAGTATAATGAAAGTGGCTTATTTCTAACATACTTTGTGGCGTATTTTTTTTTTGCTATGGAATTAAATGACTACTAATATATCGTGTTGCCACGAGCATCAAGTTATTTTTTTAATTATAAATGCCAAAGTATTTTGTGTGTCCTGTTCCAAAGCGATCTATTTCTTCTCTCTGGTGTAACCTCAAAGTTAACTTGTCGTAAATGTTTTGTTTACTGTAATTTATTTGTTTGCTAGAGGGAGCAGTTGGTCGCAATGGTGTTGTAATTTTCGAGAGACTTTACGAAATATCTTAAAAAGGATACAAATATATATAAACAGAAGACGGTTAATTTATATAGTAAATAATGAGTGCATATCCAGTGAGAGTTATCATGCTTGTTCCATTATTCAGTTACCTGGCGAGTTATTATTGTTTATCTAAGTTAGGCATACATGTTGCGGCATTATTTTTGAGGTTAGGCCTACTTTTAGTTGTTAAGTGTTTGTGCAATTAGGCCTACAACGAGGCTGTAGAAACGTCATAGCAAATAAGAAATAAACTAACTTGTCATTGGTACGTGGACTAGATTTCGTGTTATTTTCAACAAATAATTCAAAAGAATTCGCCCAACAATAGGACAAACTATAACAATATATATATGTAACAAATATACAAAACCCTATAATCGCAGCGCTTTCGAAAGGTGGGCCTCATTTTCATCAAAGACATTTCCTAGCTCGCCCCTGATGAATAAAAGTCTCCCGATGGAACAGTGGTAAGTTTACGAAATTACAACGCTAAGATCCGAGGTTCGATTTCCCAGGGTGGTCACAGTAGGTGGATCAATGTGGTTTTGCTTTACAACAAACAAATCTTTCGAAAGCGCTAGGATTATAATGTTTTGTAATTTTGGCTTAAATTGATTTTTTTAACCTATGTGTTTACCTAACATCATGAACAAATATGTCATACACATACACTCCTTTCTGTATTTTTTCATATGGTTTAGTTCTGTATTTGGTTATACTTTTATTATTGTTGTATTTTCTCAATCCACTTTGCCCCCAAATGGCACAGCGGCATGTCTGCGGACTTACAACGTGGTGGGCTGAACACAGATAGCCCATCGTGTAGCTTTGTGCTTAAACTACAAACCAAACAATCCACTTCCTTACTACTGCTGTTGGACTCGAACTATTCACTTGTTTCTAATTCCCACTGAAAATATTTACGCATTTGTGTTTTCTATTATACTTATTATCGTCCTTTCTTCTTTACTGTATGCATTTCTTTCTTGTACCCGATTATTTCCATTATTGTAATCTCGTGTTTTATTGTTCATTTACTCCCTTTCTGTATATACAACTGTTTCTTCTTCCACACACCACAGATTTTTTTTTATACAATCATTTACTTTTATTTAAATTTTTTTGGAATACTTGTACCACTCTTTCTGCTTATAGTTTCAATTTCATAAGTTTCTTTCATTTATACTCTTGTGCTCTTCTTTCACCATTTCTTGATTTTATATAGTGTGTCTTGTGCTGTTTCTTGGTTATCGCTGTCTGGCTTAACTTCGATATTTTTCCTCGATTCTATCTTAATTTGCTTTCTACTGAAAATTTTAATTACCTGTTTTTAAGTGATTTTCTTTGTTATAACTTTATCTGTGTGGTCTTACTTACTTCTAAGTTTTATTCCATGAGGCAATTTTTCGATGTTATTGTTTTCCATTTATTATTATTATTTTCCCTTCTAGTATTTTAATTTTTTTTTTATTTTCTGAATTACTGCAAAAGTACATGCTGTTCATAATTTTAACATTGTGGATTTTGTCTTTACTTTTCAAGTTACTTACAACGTTTGTTCGTAGGCTAGCAGATCTTATAAGACTGTAATTTACATATACAAAATTGTACCTACCGAATGTAATTCTTTTACATTGTCACATATGATTACGGTTTTTATGTAATACACATAAAACATTTAATTTTACACAAATGTTACACAGACTACACTTTATTCAGCAACTCCGTTAGATATATTTTTTATTCAACCATAAAGATAATCTTGTTTTAATGTCATTTAAACGTGGATGTAGTGTAATAATTACACCTGATGAATAACTCTTTTAAAGAGTTGGAAAACCTCGGGTTAATAAAACCTTCATATCATAATAAAGATAATAGTAGAGATAAAAAGGCCAGACTACCTTGTTCAACTTAACAAGTTTTATGTAAATATGTAACTTACATACAAAGTGGTCTAAAAGTCTCAAGGTAACGAAAACAATTCTTATGAAATACCTTGAAGGCGACGGAGCATTAAAACCGAGTTTTGTTCGATAATGTTGTCTGTTGTTAAGATCAAACTAAGAGTTAGTTCTCAAAACCATTTAGACTTTTTTGCCACTTTATTGCTTTTATTGGTGAATAAAATGTTAGGATGGGAGTAGGACTTTGAGAGATTATAAAGGAAGGCTCTTATCTGATGATTATAAGATGGATGGGTTATTAACTTCTGCTTTTTCTTCAGTTTTTATTAATGAAGATTTGAGTAGTATTCCTCATCCTGAACTGTTGACAGATGGAAACAAGATCGAACAAAACGATCGCAATAATTCTGAGCTTGTTAAGAAAAAATTGGGTAGTTTAAAGAACGATGAGGGCTCCTTGGTCACATAATATTTCTCCAAGGGTTTTGAAGGAGGTTAAGGATTGGATAAGTGAGCCACTTGCTACTACATTTTTTTGTAAGTTCTTGAATACTGGACAGGTGCCAGAGGATTGGAAATTAGCTAATGTGTTAAAAATTGTCCCAGTAATTATAGGCCAATTAGTATTACATCAGTTGTGAGAAAAGTTTTTGAAAGTTTGATGAAAGATGCTTTGCAAAGTCTTTTAACAAAATTTAGAATTATATTTAATAGTCAACATGGTTTCACCGAGGGAAAATCTTGCCTTTCCAATCTTTTAACATTCTTTGGAAAGGCTACTGCTTATGTAGATGAACCCTAAGGATGTACATATGGTGTATCTGGATTTTCAGAAAGCATTTGACAAGGTGCAATATAAAAGGCTTGTAAAAAATATATTTGTGGGGGATAAGTTGGTTAATTGTATAGAAAAGTGGCTAGATGGAAGAAAGCAGAGGGTTAATCTTACAATTGGGGCACCTCGGGGATCGGTTTTAGGACCTTTGCTCTTTTTGATTTACATCAGTGACGTAGACGAAGAAATGAACAATAAATTACTTAAATTTGCTGATGATATTAAGATCTTGGGTGTTGCTGACTGTGAGGATGCTGCTGCTTCTTTACAAAAGGATTTAGACCATTTAGTGAGTTGGGGGAATAAACTGCAGATGGATTTTAATTATAATAAATGCAAGATAATTCATGTGGGTTATCATAATTCGAATTATATGAATAATTTGGATAGGAATAGCCTTAACAGTGTTATGAAAGAAAGAGATCTTGGTGTAGTGGTTGATCACTCTCTTAAGTCATCCCAACAGTGTGCTGTTGCTAGTGATAGGGTATATAGGATTTTAGGTTGTATCTACAGAAACAATGAATACAAGTCTAAAAACGTTATAATATCATCGTACAAGTCACTGGTGAGGCCACATTTATTCAGTCTTGAACTCCTTACCTTTGTAAGGACAATGAATTGTTGGAAATGGCCCAGAAGAGGACTACTAAGATGAACCTGGTATGGAAAGGTTGTCATACAAGTGAGGTTAAATATTTTAAACTGTTTTCTTTTGAAAAGAAAAAAAGTTAGAGGGACCTGATTGAGGTGTTTAAGATTGTTAATGGAATCGGTAGTGTTGATGCATCATCCTTTTTCATACTTAATGGTGAGAATGGTAGAACTAGAGGACACAAATATCAATTTTGGCAGGGTAACAGTCATCTTCAGCTAAGACAGTTTTATATTTCTGACAGGGTAGTTGGCTTTTGGAATGGGTTGACTTCGGATGTGGTGGAGGTATTAAATTTAAGTGAACTTAAGGGAAGGTGTGATAAACATATGAATGATAACGGTTGGCTTTGAGTTTTTTTAATAGCTTTAGTTTAATTTAGTGGATGAGACAGCATAGATAGACCAATTGGCCTGTTGTTGTCCCTAAATATTATGTTATATGTTACGTTATTATGTATTGGAATGGACATATAAATTAATCACCTGAAACCTGGACTTGTAGAGTTTGTGGTTTTTAAAATATATTTATTCCAAAAGAACAACGATAACAGGCTGATTCACCCTATTACTAATGATTTGTAAGCCACTTTGTATGTATAATAACACACACACATCCTAAATTGTTAGCATAAAACTGAATAATACAAAACACCACACGAAAAACATCATGATTAAGGCAACACGTGAAAAACTCAATAATTATATACATAGGTCTGATATACAGTTTGTAGGGTTTTGAGCCAATGACATGAACAAAATTAACCATCCTATTCAGAAAAGCATGGTCACCCAGTGGGACAATGGTAAGTCTAATGAATTACAACGTTAAAATTCGGAGTTCGATTCCACGTGGTGGACACAGATATAGCCCAATGTAGTTTTGGTCCTATAGAAACGAACAAACAGAAAAGCTTATATTTTTAAGTAGTCTTACAAATATTATTGATCTAATAATTTTAGGAAATTATTCCACTTTCCAGTATGAACAAGTTATTGGATATTATGCGTTTTCATAAACAAAATTATGATGTCATTATTTTGATTTCCAAATATTCTTATAAAACACTTGTATACAGTCATTTCAATGCATGCAAGCTTAACGTTCTAGTCACCAAAACCTTCTAGAAGAAGTGAACGTTAAGAACTTCATATAAAACTATTTGACAGGCTGAACAGATAAAGGGCGTTATTAAGATATCAAAGGCTCCTCTGCCAGAAACGCCTGTGCATGTAAAATTTGTTTGTTGTTAAGTACAAAGCTATCCAATGGGTTATATGTGCTGTGTCCACCACGGGTATCGAAACCTGGCTTTTAGCGTTGTAAATCTTCAGATTTACTGCGATCCACTGGGGAACATGTATATTAGATGTTTCTTACACTGAAAACTAACTATTTTAAAATCTTCTCGTGAACTGAATATAACCGTGTTATGGATCTCATTTATTTTTGATGGATTGGACAAGTTTTAATATGTTAAGATATTTGTTTTTTTTGGGGGGGGGGACTAAATCCGTCACAGATATTAAGTGTCTTCCTGTGAACTAAGCAGAACCAATAACGTTATGTGGTTGGGGTGGTGGTGGGTACAGAATCAAATATGTTTTTAGATGGATCTTCTGATAGATAAACCAATATTTTATGGGATTGATGATAGACTAGTTAAAACCGAAGATGTCTTATGATGCACTGAAAACGACTGAGCTCACAAAGGCATTTTAAAATTTCTTAATAGAACTCAACCGCTAAGACGATTTATCGGAAGTGTATGATAAGCCGAGCGTGTCAAAATCGCCAACAAGACCTTGTAAATATTTCGAGCCACCCACAAACACTAGGTGTAAAAACATCTCAGCAAAATTATGTCGGTAGCGATAAAAATTAAAGCACACATAAAAAGATGGACAATTGAAACATATACAAAATATCAACAATAAAATATAATTTCTAACTAGGTTTAGAGAATGGATGTTGCTAACCAACACCATCCGCTATACGCAACATAAAGAATCAGTTTGGCCCTTTACAACAAAAAAGAACAGTTGCGCCTGTTTTTATACCAAACTATTTTTTTCTAGCTTTTAAAAGTGTAAATTTCATTCAACTCGAATGTATCCTACAGATAAGACTGTAAATACCAAATAGTATATGTCAATAATATAATAAAACAGCGTTGCTTATTTACCAGCTTTTAAATGTTTCATTAAGATGGATAAAATTCTGAAAACTATGATAATCTAGTTTTCTTACAAGGCCTAAAGGGCAAAATGGTATCTTATTTTATTTTCTTTAAAGGGACTTGTTATGCGTGTTCTTTGTTTTAGGAGTAAAGCTACAAATGGGACAATCGTGGGTATCGAACCTAGATATTTAGCGTTACACGCCCTCAAGCTTGGCGCTAAGCCACCTGGGTCGGGATAAAGGGAATTATTATTTCGAAATCTGAATTACAATCTGAATTTGATATTCTAACACACCTCATATCAAATTTAAAATTAAAAATACTATATAACATTGGCCATAAGTACAACTGATTAGAATCCTGCAGGTTAAAAACAGATTTTATAACCGTCACCCTCAAAATAGAAAATGAAATTAGTTAACACAATGTGAAAATGTTATCGCAAATTACAACAGTTATAGATAAAGTGTCACACATTATTTGCTTTACGTGATATAAATAATAAACTGTTATAACGATCTTTGCATTTCAATTATCGAAACAAATCCATTTGAAGCATAAAATATATCACGGGTAATGGTACCAAATGCAAACATTTAGTGTTGTTAACCATCTTGCTAACCTTTTGAAAAGAAAAAACAATTCGGTCATCGGGTGTTGCATGCATGCATGCACACATACACCCCCTAAAGGATTCTAGAGGCTTGTTCCCCCGTAATATTTAGAAGAAAAAATGGGGCGAAGCAATATAATTTCTAGCATTCTAGATTAACCACAGATTAACAGCAAACAAGGTTTAATTGGTCGTCCCGTTCCGTATGTCCCTTGTTTTTATTGGAAATGGTTATTTATGATATATAGGGTTTATATTTTGCAAAGCGGTATGATTAACTTTTCAAATCAGTAGACGATAAAAGGGTCCTAAAATCGGTGAGGTTGGCAAGTGTGGGTTAAGCCTCAGTTCATACTTCAGCAGTAGCACTAATACCTGTATCTGCTGGTAAGTGCTAATTATAGTTAAACTACCGAATTAATAAACTGGTGTAAAAAGATGGTGAAAACGAATGTATGTTACACAATACTGCGAATGTTTCCAAAAACAAAGTGGGCCAAACTTTCAAGTAGAAACTCAGAAACAAATTCAAAATGGTGCAAACAGAAAAATACGGACACGAATTCTATCTCAATCTCCAGGGGTTGTATCCCAAGCGTTCCCATGGTAACCCCTCAAACATGTCTGTATGAACGGAAGGAAAAGATGGTGCTGAAGAGGTAAAGGAAGGCATTCCCCAGGCCCGGAACCCAAAAAAAAAAAAAAAAA